GGAGCATCTCCCCTATGAGGAAAGGCTGGGTAACCTGGAAATGTTCAGCATGTGGAAAAGAAGACTGGAACGGGCCGCCCTGAGAGGTGATGGCTCTATCCTGTATCTATGCAGAGATGCTCAAGACCCATCAGGATGCCAGCCTATTGGGGAACTGCTTTAGCAGGGGGCTGGACTCGATGATCTCTGGAGGTCCCTCCAGTTCTGTGACTCTGTATCCATCCCCAGAATTCTCTGAGTGGGGACCTCTGTCCATCCCCCACATTGTGCTCTGTGGGTTGTTGGGTTTGCTCTTTCAGTTATCAGCTGGGATCTATTACAACGTTAGATAACTGCATTCTGTCTCCTGACCTTGAATGACTCTGGAAGGAAAATATTTGCCTTGCTGCGTGCTGAACGTACCCTGTGATGGGTGGTGGCACTGACGTGCACGTTATGGGTGCTGCACTGAAAACAAGTAGTTAATAAACAGTGACCTCTGTAGGTACAGAGCAGAGGGGTGACCAGATAGGTTGTATTTAATGTTATTAAGCATGTTATGATAATGAGCATCCAAAAGCATGAGAAAGGTGAGGATTTGCAGCAGCATTTGTGTAACGACAAAGCAGTGGCAGTTCAGGCCCCCAAAGGGCTTTGCCAGTACAGATCTTGGTGCATTTGGTCAGTGTTATTAAGATGATTGCTCCATCGATAGCTTGGAACTCTTTGTTAAGCAGGAAATGAAATGGAAGCTCGTTATAATTTTCATATTGAACCAGGAGTCTGAGCTGGGGAGGTGGCACAATGCAAATGCAATCCTTTTTTTTTTTTTAAGGTGTGAGAGGTGAGCAGAACCATCCCATTTAAACATGGCTCGTTCTCTGATCCTTGTCGTGGTTCTGTTGGAATCCTGATGTTTTCCCACATGATTTGCAGGGCTGATTGTGAGGGAGCTGCTGCCAGCTGAGAGTGTGGCAAAATGAATGCCAGCATAATGCAACTGCAGATCAGCCAGGTGGGATCTGAACATGGACCAAGGTGCTGTGTTGGTTGTATGATCACCTGTGCAATTCTTGATCTGTCAATGGTATGTGCTCCTGTGTAGCAAACTCTGCAAGTACAGTAATTATGTGTAATTGCTTTCAATTAGAGAGTCAGAAGTTGAGAAGACAGTGTTTATCAGGATGGAAACGAGCTTGTTTTCTGGGTGGGTCCCAGTGCTGTTGGGTCATCCCTGCATTGCTATAGTTTGAGGATCATTGTCGTTTTCCTGATCTTTGGTTTGTTGGATGACCCCTGTCACTAAAAAACCTAACGAAGAAAAGCACATAGAATCATAGAAACATTAAAAAAAAAAAGTCTTGTGAGTTAGAACTTGAATTGAGGCTGTTTCCTGCCAGCGTGTGCTTTGTTTCCAACACATTTGTGTATGCAGAGTAATGCTGGAGCTGAGAATGCCCTCTGAGCTCCCTTATTTCCAGGTGTGTGCCAGCTGATGGCTGAACAGAAGAGTGACCTGGTGTGAAGGTGGAAATCCCCATTCACACAGCATTCCTTTCCAGCAGAGCAGGTCAGGCAGCATTGCTCACATCAGTGTTCCAGGTTCTTGCTGGGTTGAATTCTGCATTAATGCTCTGTTGATAGAAGTGTGAGTGAGTTGGTAATTTCTCTGGGTTATGTGACCAACAGCGTGTTTGTTGTAGAGGCTTCAAATTCAGTTAGCTTTGTGCCATTGCTGTCAGATGTTACCTGCTCCAGTGCAGGGTCTGCAAAGATGATGAGGAAACTATTGCTCTGTTTGCTCTAAGAGGACGGAAAGTCAGCCTTGCACTTCATCCCACTGGGGGTTTGCTCAGCCATGCTGCTAAACACTTAAAATTATACAATTGATGGTGTTTATCTCAATGCAGCAGGCTTCTTAAGCCAGCAGGGACAGGGAGGTGATCGTCCCCCTCTGCTCAGCTCTTGTGAGACCCCACCTGCAGCACTGCATCCAGGTTTGGAGCCCCCAGCACAGGAAGGATGTGGAGCTCTTGGAGCGGGTCCAGAGGAGGGCAGTGAGAAGATCAGAGGGCTGGAGCAGCTCTGCTGTGAGGAAAGGTTGAGGGAACTGGGATTGTTCAGCTTGGAGAACAGAAGGCTCCAGGAGACCTCATTGTGGCCTTCCAGTGTTTGAATGGAGTGTATAAACAGGAGGGGAATGGCTGCTTATGAGGGTGGGCAGTGGTAGGACAAGGGGGAATGGTTTTAAAGTGAGATGGGGAGGTTTAGGTTGGATATGAGGAGGAAGTTTTTCAGCCAGAGGGTGGTGAGGCACTGGAACAGGTTGCCCAAGGAGGCTGTGGATGCCCCATCCCTGCAGGCATTCAAGGCCAGGCTGGATGTGGCTCTGGGCAGCCTGGGCTGCTGGTTGGCGACCTGCACATAGCAGGGGGTTGGAACTGGATGAGCATTGTGGTCCTTTTCAACCCAGCCCATTCTGTGATTCTATGATTACGATTGTTCTGCTGAAATCAAACCTCCTGCTCTCAGTGCAGTCTCTTGCGATGGCTCTGCTTGATTGGCTCTGGGAGGCAGAAGGGCATTTTTGTTGGCTCTCTGATCCTCAGGTCCTTTT